CTATTTTCATAAGACATTGCAGTAAAAGACCATTTTACTCTGATGGAGTTCTTTGCCTGAAGCCTGCAAGGAATGACCAGTGAGTTCGATTCTTCTGTGATCCCCAGAATCTTGCTTCTGTTAGAAAAAGCAACTGGCACTTTTTCAGTTGCGGGGTTGCGGGGTCCAATTCGAGGGACCGTGATGAGTTTGATTCCTTTCATCCAATCGTTAGAGTACTACGCATGATGAAACAATACAAGAACAATTTATGTAGTCTGACCATTCTTTGTACTGTGCTGGTTGGCTCATGCATCTGTATACGTAACTATACGTACGCGTGCATCACAAAGAAATACTTACCTATTGTGTATTCGTCCCTGAGTTAATCAACAAAGGAAAGCTATGAAAAAGAATGGAAACAAAGGAAAGCTATGAAAAAGAATGGAAAACGTGACTATCGACTCTGGTACACATGGAAATATGTGCTGAATATGTGAACATCTTATGCTGGTCCCGGAGTCCCTGGATGGATTCACAATCTGCCAAGTTTCCTTGTCTAGGAGCAAAGCACAGACTGCTGTGCCAAGGGGGAGTTGCTCATCTGCAAGACCCTCGAAGCAGATGGGTTTGGAAAGCCCAAAAAAAAGCTGAGGATCATTCAGTAGACCGCAAAAAGATACAAAAGATGCAAAAAAGATAGAAAAGATGCAGTTGATTGATATTTTGGACGGATATTACTTTTCAATCTTTTGAGGGGGGCTATAGTCCAGATGGGCAAAATGCAAATCCCAGGTCACTGTTTCAAAACATGTTACGTGGGAGTGAGGGATTAAATGACATTTCTGCAAATAATATATTATCATGTATGTACTCTTGGTCGCTTTGGTCCTAGGTCGGCTTAGACTCTACCAGTTGCGTCTCATCTTCACAAAACAATCGAAGGTATCCAACTGGCTCACAGCGTTTCAGGAAATGTCTCGGATTGCAGGTCACCGATCCCACTGACATCCCTTGACCGCCTTCACTTTGGCCACGGTATCTTCCTCCTCCATGGTCAACTCTGTTAACTCCTCGCCCGACATGTAGCACACGCGCAGCGCCATGGTACTCGGGAGCAATCGCTTGGCCATCAAATGACACCTGACCTACCTGGCTTGAGACATGTAAAGGTATGTTCAGTGTAGATGAATCCTGACTCTATGCATTTCCATATCACTGCAACTTGGCAACTTGAGCAGTTGTGGCTGCCAGCGCAGTGGGTTTTATCTTGGAACGTTGAAGCTAAAACTTGAATCTTGCGTGTGTCAATCCACTACAACTTTCAAGAAATGTTAGTGTCACCTTCAAAACGTCAGTGTGAAATAGTGTAGAAGCGGTCGCTATGAGCATATCTACATTTCACTTGTGGTCCTGCAACTCAATCGATCCTTATAGCTAGGATAGCCTTGGGCAACTGATGGCAACTGGGAGTACTGCACCGGGTGCAAAGCCTTTTCGCCTTTTCACTGCTAGTCCTTGTCGAGACCACACAGGTCACGCAACGAGGCTTTCACATGGCGGGCGTCCTTTCAACGGAAGCATCACATTTTGCACCGCCTGAGACATGACGGCGAGGATGGTAGTCACAAGCGAAACGGGGACTCAACTACTGGATATCCAATGAATCAAAATTTGAGGGCCCAATTCCAATCCTTCAGCAATGTGAGTTCAAAAGCATGAAGCTAAGAGATATTGGCTGATCAAAGGTATAATCTAACCTGCCTCAAAATGAATAAATTGTAAATCTTACTTCCAATATTCAGAATTCATAGGCCCTCATCTTGTTTTCGATCACGATCACTACCATCCTCACCCTCATCCGCCTATCAGAATGTCGAGCTCAAAGAAATTCGCGACCTTCTGCTGCAGCAGGATCTCACCATCGCCACCTGCGCGACGTCTGGCGCGCAGCACTCGCACGACGTCCTTCTCCAAAGTACTGCTGGTCATCGATGCCCGCAAATCCGCCAGGCGCACTGTCGAAGCTCCGCTAACGGCAGATCTGCGGCTGAGCCTAACCCAGTTGGAGGTTGGGGTTGGTGCGCACCGAGCCAGGTCGGGCTATTGCGGAAAGTAGAGCCAAAATATCAACAGACTTGAAACCACCAACCATCCATAAATCGTCCATAAATCATCCATAAATCAACCATAAACCTCCAAAAGGTTTCTGGTTGACTCCACCCGTGTTTCGACCTCAGAAGCTCATGGAGGCGATGAAGCTGCTCCAGTGGCATGCTCTGCAAGTCAAAGCCACACCTAGTGGTGGATAGCGGTGAACAAGCAGCGTTACCGGCGTTACCCAACCACTGGGAGTATTGCCAACATTATGTAACATAGTTACATCAAGAACATGATTGTTGAATATCGTGGAACTATCATGGACATGGCTATTTGTCGAGCTATCGAACAAATGAGGATATTCTTTCCAACCCCGTTTGGCAGGGTCTATGTTCGTTGGATGATTGGATAATACATCAGCCACCTGAGCCACCTAAAGGCCTGAAGGTGAATCGTTAAATTCCTCCGCTGTCAGGGCTCTCTTGACGAGACCAGGGACTGCAACCTGTGACAGGTCCATGATCCCGTATAAACTTCATCCTCAGCATGTGTTTACATGCTACACAGTCTGTAAATGGATGTCAAGCATGAAACAACTAACCATGACTGGCCAGAAGGTCGAAGCCACTACAATTCGTCAAAGGACCACAAAAACTAATGCCAATTGAGATTCCTGGAAAAAAATAGATCAAAATGGTCCAAAGCGCCGTTTCTGGAAATCCCTGCAATCATTGCGCTCGAAACCACCTAGTTTGCATGCCATCCAAGGCACAAACGGAGGAACAGCACGTAGCGTCCCAAGCTGATGCTGTCCCCCGGACGCGATGCCGAGCTGAGGGCTTCTCGCAGCAACTGGCCGTGAAAGTGGCGATGATGCAGTGGCACCTGCAACAGATCCAGCACAAGGGACTCTGGTAGCTCTGCTAGTGACTGACTTCGTCTAGTCTCTCGTGTGTACTTGGTGGTTCATCCCAGTAAGTGGGTTATAACCGCAGTTATAAGTGAACATTGCACCTACTCAGCCCATTTATAATCAAGGTTATAACCTACTTACTAACTGGGATGAACCACCAAGTGGCAACTGCATTGTTTCCTGGGTCTCTGTTTCAGATATCTATTGGCAATGGTCTATCTAGGAAGTGGATGTCCTGAATGGTTATTCCGCTGAAACGTGGGCAGTTCCATCCTGATCCACAAACTAAGGAAAGCGAACGAGAAAAAGATACTGTACAATGTGTATGTTTTTTTAATCATGTACAATGTGTCTATACATATTACATCATATTATGTACTGTATATATATATATGTATATACACATACATGCACACACTCACTTTGGTTTCACATCTTTCCCGCATCACCAAACACCAGAGCACAACAAACATTCCCACGGAGCCCTTTCCCAGTCCCACCTCTTGCGCCACGTACCTCACCACCTTCCACAGTTGGCCCCTTGACCAGGCGCCGCCAGCACGGACTCGCAGCAGATTCCAGCGCTCGGCCCTGCGATGCTGCAAGGCACACAGGGCACACAGCAGCTCCGCCGCAAAGGTGTCGCTGATGGGTGGCTGCAACAGCGCATCTGTCAGAAGTGAAACATGCGCGAAGCCATCAAGGCCACCAAAACCCCACAAAAAAGATTGGCTTTGCAAAATGACTTCTCTACTAAAGACTGCCATTGTTGAGTTCCATGTGTATGCATTTTCATGTCCAACAAGCTTGTAAGGCTCACAATCCGATGGTCTGTTTTGATCTCACTAAAAAATCACAAGAAATTGCCCAAAAAACATCACCAACCATCAAACGCCATGAGCCTTGAAGGGCCTTTGGCAGTCGTAGTTGCAGCTGGATGCAGTAGCTGCACAAGTCACGTTTCTGCACAACACTCAGCTCAGCTGTGCGGCCACTCAATTCCAGCACCACCTCTTCCAGCAACGCTTCGGGCAAGCGCCACTCCGGGTCTGGGTGCTTCAACTGATCGCTGTTTTCAAAGGCCTGGCGTGGGAGCTGGTTCAAGGAAAAAAACAACGGTGTCAATGGACCCACAGATCGTGTCCCCTTTTTCATCCTTTTTCACTATTCAACCTGCCAATGTTGTGGTAAATCATGGATCTCCACGAAGCGATGTTGCAGAAAGCTGCGCCCAAAAGGCACCCACCTGCTGCGCCCAGTGCTCCAGCTGCTTCAGCAGCTCACCAATCGGAGTTCCACATCTCAGTTTCATGGGTCCAAAACCGAGGGTTCCTCCCCAGGTACTTGAAATAGTGTGTATATGTATTTATGTATTTATGTATTTATGTATCTATGTATCTATGTATTTATGTATCTATGTATCTATGTATCTATGTATGTCTGTCTGTCTGTCTGTTTGTCTAGGTAGGTAGGTAGGTAGTGTATGTGTGTATGTGTGTATGTGTGTATGTGTGTATGTGTGTATGTGTGTATGTGTGTATGTGTGTATGTGTGTATGTGTGTATGTGTGTATGTGTGTATGTGTGTATGTGTGTATGTGTGTGTATGTGTGTATTGTATTGTATGTATTGTATGTATTTATGTATTTGTTGTATGTATGTGTATGTGGTATTTGCTTGTATGTATGTAGATGTATGTATGTATTATGTCTTCTGTCTTCATGTCATGTCTTCATGTCTTCATGTCTTCATGTCTTCATGTCTTCATGTCTTCATGTCTTCATGTCTTCATGTCTTCATGTCTTCATGTCTTCATGTCTTCATGTCTTCATGTCTTCATGTCTTCATGTCTTCATGTCTTCATGTCTGTATGTCTGTATGTCTGTATGTCTGTATGTCTGTATGTCTGTATGTCTGTATGTCTGTATGTCTGTATGTCTGTCTGTGTGTCTGTGTGTCTGTGTGTCTGTGTGTCTGTACGTCTGTACGTCTGTACGTCTGTACGTCTGTACGTCTGTACGTCTGTACGTCTGTACGTCTGTACGTCTGTACGTCTGTATGTCTGTATGTCTGTATATCCATATCCATATACATATATATATATATAATGTTTACATGTTGACGTATATTATATTGACACATCATGAATATCTTTTGCCAACAACCAAGAAACATCACAACCAGGATAACAACAACAACAACAACAACAACAGACCACGACCACGACCACGACCACCACCACCACCACGACCACCACCACCACCACCACCACAACCACAACCACAACCACAACCAATGGACTGATGAAAGAACTCGATATGGCGCGCAACCAGCGCCAGTGCTCAAGTGTTTGGCAATGAGAAGGAGACTTAGTGAACTGCGTCGAATCATATCAGTCCATAAAGTCAACTGTTTGGCACGATGCTATCGCTCTTGTTGCCAAACCATGCCAAACAGACAAGAAAACTGCCTTTACAAGTTTAAGGCCCTTTGAGTCACAATCCAATTTCGAAACCTCAGGTCAGCTGAATGATATAATATGCATCGTTGTAAATTAGAAAGTATATGTATATACATAAGTATATACATGTATATACAGTATATATATAAATATAACTATGTATGTATATAACGATGTATGTATACGCGCACATTATTGTTCATCAGTGGTTCAAGCAAACTTCCAAGTCCCCGGCCTCACTGCCACATTCCGCGAAGGCGCGCCAAAGACATGCCACCCCCGAAGGATGGCAGGGCGCAACATGGCCACGGGATTCCCAAGGGATTCCCAGGGGATTCCCAGCGAAAAACCGGAGAAATGGAGGTTGTGAATAGAAACACCCATGGAAAAATCCGTGGAAAATCCACTTTGAATGGAGGTTTTGAAATAAGAAAACATCTATAATCATGAGATTTTCTAGCTATGTTGCTTAAGAGGGTATTGATTTAAGTGAAGGTTCTTAATAAAAAGGAAACCAGCTGTTGGTTTTTCAACAATCAATCAGAATTAGACCCTGTCAAAAACTCAATCAAAATGAGCTGGTCACAGTTCCAGTGGAAAATTGGACAGTTGAGCAATGTTGAGCATGTTGCTGTGAAAGACGTTGCCATAGGCTAGTTGCCATATGCGTGTCCCAAAAGTCGGCCACTCTGCTGCGGACCATGTTCTGATAGCCTTTTGGGCCTTTCCTAGCCAAGTATGAACTGATTTTTATCATCTGGTTTAAGGTTCCGACTGATTCATTTTGTTGTACAAGTTCAACAAGTTCAACAAGTGTTGAGAGATCTTTAGAGCACTTGGTCGCAAGAAACCGCAGAGTCATCCAATTTCCCACTCTTCCAAAGGTTAATGATGTTGGTTCTGATGCAGATCTGACTTGAGCCGTAAAAACTTGCACCCAAAGTCCTGATCGACGAATCGATGTGCCAATAATTAGATTAGATGGCATCCTTCAACCCGCTATCCATCGAGTCCCAAATCAGAACGACCAGTTGAGGGTTCCAGCCATGGCATTTCTCGTACCTCAATCATCCACTTGTCCACTGAGGAGCCACCTGGCCATGGGCAATTTTTGGCGCCAACTGGGAGAACAGCCCTGATGAAGGGGTCATGACATGTCGTAACCATAGTTCTTTGAATTTTCCAAGTCATCCAAGTATCATTGCAGCTAAAATTGAGAAGCCCCGCTCCAGCAGAAGCTGCTTCGTCCCATCTGTGTCTCAGTCGAGCCTGCGCTTTCATCGTCCTCCGCAGGTTCTCCATCCGCAGCCAGCAACTTGCAGTTCTTCGACAACGCGTAGTCCCAAACGTACGAAAAGCCTGCGACATCGGCGACAGGGAGATGCAAACCCACCCAATGACCCACTTCAATGCTTTTGGCGCATCAAATTTTGGAAAAACATGTCAGATCCCTCTTGCTTAACATGCCCCAGTTACATCAGCCCAAATGCACATCTGGTATCAGCAGCTCCTAACTTTTAACTGCTGCATGATGTTCTTATTGTATGATCAGTGCTCGTTCCGGTTGATTGGATCAATTTGTCTGCATTTTCTCTATACGAAGAGCAAACAAGTGCACTCCATTCACAACAGTAGATAGGAGGGAAGTGCAGAATTGGCAAACTTTGAAGCGAGTTTTGGTCCCAGCACCCTTGGGGCAAAACCGAAGATTTAATTTATGTTGGGTTTCGATTAAAACCCAGTGGGTGTAGGCATCCCGATTGAATTGAAGTGAATATCAACCAAAATCACCTGAGGTTGACATCAGCCATTCATTGGCGATTCATATTGGCGAACCATGGATCTTTGCCCTCGATCGCATGACCGAGCCTCGACACTCCATCCCACTGCAGAAGGGGGTAATTTGACTTGATTGGCAAGCCTGGGTGGAAGTGACTCCGGGGGCCGGGGGGTTCAGTAGCTCAAAGTGGATCACCCAGCTATTAAGGTTTCTGGATGGTGCTGGCTATCTATCCATCTATCTATCTATCTGTCTATCTATCTATCTATCTAATCTAATCTAATCTAATCTAATCAAATCTAATCTAATCTAATCTAATCTATCTATCTATCTATCTATCTATCTATCTAATCTATCTATCTATCTGTCTGTCTGTCTGTTTATCTATCTATCTATCTATCTATCTATCTATATATCTATCTATCTATCTATCTATCTATCTATCTATCTATCTATCTATCTATCTATCTATCTATCTATCTATATATAATCTCTATATATATATATATATATGCACATATCTATATCTGTATCTATATCTATGTCCACATATATATATATATATATATACATACATACATATATACCAATATATATATACATATATATATATACCTATATATTTATATACCTATACATATATATATATACACCTATATGAACCTATATATATATACCTATACATATACCTATATATATACCTATATATATATACACCTATATATTTACCTCTATATATATACCTATATTTATATATTCACCTATATATTTATATATATACATACACATATATACATATATATTTATACGTACACACATATTTATATACACATTTATGTATATATTATATTTATTTATATTTATCTAAATCTACATTTCATTGTATGTACAATGTATTTCACCGGCCTCGCCCAGGAAGGTGATCAACTTGCTCGGCGCCACGTCCCAAGCGGGGCAAATGCCTCGGCGCAGATCTCGGGCACTTGGGAGTAGTAAAATGTAGCAATGTGGGTGGTTGATGTAGTAAAAATGAATAGTTTATATCCCCAAATAGGGTGTACATAGTCAAATACTGGTTGGTTTTCATAGGGATTCCCCTGTTGGACTATATTATTGTCATCCCCAATATAACAGGTAGTATGATCCCCTATAATGTGGGTAAAACAATGCCATAAACCACCCATGATTGGGAATGGTAAACATACCACCTATAAAATGGTGATGACTGGGGGATGGTAACCCGCATTAAAGGATGAGGATGAACTTGGGGGTTCGCAAAAAAAAAGTCAACTCCAGGATGATCCAGATATGTGTATATATATATGGATATTGCTATCATATGTAAATATCCAGATATATCTCTTGTATATATATATCTGTATCCAGATATATGTATAGACAATCTTTGAGATCATGACTAGTTTGTTGTTCTTGGCCACTGCTGAACCGAAGGCTTGTAACTATGGTCAAGGATCTGCCGATCTTGGGCAGTGCATTTGTTCTAGCCCGTGAGTGGAGGAAATTCTTCAGATCATTGTCAATTTTACCTGAATTTTCCATCCCAAAACAACACTAGCAAGCAGGGCCCTTTAAACCGGCCTATGTATGTGTATATAATATATATATATATACATGCACATGTATATGCATATTTCCGGAGATCAATATTATACAGGTCATTACAGAACCCTCCTAGCTCTTGATGTGAAGGAATCCTTTAGCAAGTCAGGCATGACAGCATGATTCATATCTGTCGTAGTTTTCCTCATCCCAGTCCTGGGACCGAGCCTTTAGTGTTTCTAGGGCTCCGGCTGCTAAGAAGTACTTGGATCATGAAGGCGGCACTTGCAGGAGTCATATGGCCATACAAGCAGTCCTCAGGCACCTGTGGTACAGCTAGCAGCTACCATGATAGGGATTGATCACTTAGCTGCCTTAGCTCCCTGATGAATCAACTGGGGGTGGGGATGACATCAGGATGACATCAGGATGACCTTTGGTTTCAGCGCCAGACCTGCTCAGTGAAGCTCCACACATCAAAGTAGCGCACAGCCATGGACGCGAACCTGGCACAGCAACGTGGGTTTTCTGGTATGGGAAACTCATCGGATGTATAGCTCCCATGTTTCCACGGGTTTCCATTGGAAAATCAATGGCTGGTTCTTCATGATCTCCATAGTCGGAAGGGGACGCTGAAAGGCTGACAAGCAACTCTTGGAAGTGTGCTCTCATCGCTTCATGCAAATGGTTGTAGATGGGATTCTTGTAGTACTCACTGCAGTACTCCACCTCAGCATGCAGAGCTTGCAAATCCACAAAGCATGGGGATGTTCAAGGATTCAATGTGAGAAAGAATGCGTTTGACAAAGATGCCAGCAGAATATCTATGGTTGCATATGCATAAACGCATAGCTGCATTCATCTGTAGATACACGATGTATGGTCATTTTTGGCCTGCAATTTTGGACACACCCCACTACCGTCGAGACATGACCAGACCACTAGTGGACTTTGTCTTGAGACCCCCCTCTTCAGCACCAGACAGACATCACTGTGCAGCCATGCTTTTCAGCACGGCCATTGGGCCCACAGAACCTCTGCAATGTCCCTGCCGTCCTAAGACAGACGCGTCGAAGCGTCTAGCCCGGTCAGCCGCTGAATTCTGCGGGGTGGCTCTGCTGGAAAAGCTGATTGGCAATCATCATTGTGATAATTATGCAAATGAAAATGATAACAATAATGTTCTAATGATGATAACCAAAATAAATGATTGTGATACCCAATGGTAATGATGATAATAATAATAATGATAATGCTAATACTAGCAATAATAATGGTAAGTATAATCGTGTTCATCATCATCATCATCATCATCATCATCAGCATCAGCAGCAGCAGCATCATCATCACCCTCATCATCATCTTGCTCATCGTCCAAAAAGGATATAATGAGTCCGATAGTTTGTTGCAATAAAGAAAAAACTAGCCTCAATGTCCTCCCAATTTGACTGTGCTTGGCACCTCCTCATTCCTTGCAGGAACTTATCCACGATGCCTTCTGTGTCCAGCCCAGCCAATGCGGGCCTCACGAAAACGATCCCTCACCAGGACGCTTTTCGGAGAGCGAAACTGCTTGAAATGTCGTTGAGTCACATCTAGGACCATCTATATAGGTCTTGAGAATCCATGACCTGAAATGGCCTGGTTTCACACCAAGGGAAGTGGCAACCCTTGGAGTAGGCATACCAAAGCCCCACCGCGACCACAGGAAAGACGTGGCTCTTGTGCCAATTGCCTGGAGCAAAAATTTGGACACTTCGCACCACGGAGAAATGTTTGTTTCATGGTTGTCTGCCGATCTCCGGTGCTTCTGTCAGAGGTCTTTTTTGCGCACATTGAAAGCGGACCCTGAAAGCCACAGCATCTTGCCACAGCTGAGGGTCAAGACCAGGATGGAACCAAACCAATGTTGGAAACACTGGATAGACAATGATAGACATACTCAAGGCAACCGGCGTCCTAAAATCAGAAGATCCGAAGATACATGCAGCATTTACAGACTAAAATTTCATCTGGACATGGATGTTCGTTGGGAGCTTAGTGGCACCTTGCATCTAAGCTAAGCACAGCATCTGGGCGATTGGCTGCCCCGTTCTCCCAAATCTACTTGCTATAGACGTTACCATTTTGTCCTCACATCTGGAACCAGCCCTTTAAATGGCAACTCTCGTGGGGAAACATCCAGTTAAAACAATTGGCTGTGCACTGAGCACCTAAGCATAGGCATCCAGGCATCTACTCCAGTGGTCCAGACAATTTGGCTATCCCTTTTTGGAAGCTGTTCCGGTACTCACTGGGTATCTGCTGTGTGCGACGTAGCTCAGCCTTGGCCGAGTCCTCAATGGGCCCCTGACGTCCAAGGCGATTCAAGCCACTGGGCAATGTGCCCACGCCCAGTTTGTGGACCAATGCCATCGCAAAATGCCAACCTCATTGGACGACCACGGTTGGCTGAATAGGTGGCCAGATAGGTGAGGGATAAAAATATGAGACCAAGCCACTTCCGAAACCAATTTGTTTGGATGGTATAAACCCCTTTGCTAGCGAATGTCCTTCCCAAAGATCATGTCATATCTGTCACAGTCACACCCATGTCCAGATTCCAGTTCCAGCTCTGATTTCGAAATTGAATAATTGAAATTAATTGAAGCGCCGCGAAATCGCAATCTGACTCGCAAATCAAAAATCCTAGCGTGAGATGGGTTTGTCCGAACATTGGGTATCCCGAAATCCATCGAAATCCCATGGCTAACCATCATGTCCCCTATCAAAATGGCAATTTGCGGTCCATACCCCATGTTCAGACACATATGAAACTCTGAGCCACTGCTCTTGCTGAAAATGTCATAGACCTGGCTCAAACTGTTGCTCCACACGTGCAATGGAAAGGAGAAGCCCGCATCATTGTAGTATGGATGTACATCCAACATCTCCCTGTATATTCTTGTGATCAAAAGGAATCTAGTGCATACATACATATTTACATGTACATTACATGAACATTGCATGTCATTTTATATGTATCATCATATATCATAAATATGCTACAACGTAGCAATGTTGGTGTATATCATGTATATCTATGAATAATATGAATGGCTCTTTCCGAACATTTCCACCTCCACGTCCGTCCACGTCCGTCCACCTCACCTTCGCAGGCCACTCAGGCTGCATCTTCGTTAAGATCGCACAGATCTCCTGCAGCTGGGCGCTTGGAAATTGCCATGGAATGTATGAAATGTATTGAATCGATTTTGGCCATGGGATGCAAAGTGGGTGTGATGAATTTGGAGTTCAATATATTTCATGTATTTAGTACCAGGGGGCTGTGAATTAGACACTTGAGACCAGAATCACACGTGGATTCGTCACGTGAATCCATTTGTTGCGCTGAACCACTTCCAGAGGTCGCACCGAATTTTCAATCATAGCCCATTCACAACTTCCAAGCCAGTGCCCTCCTGTGGTGTTTTCTTACAATCTCCCAGGTAAATCGCTTGCACAAAGCGATGCTGCGGACACTTCCGCGGCTCGTGGGAAAAGATGCCGATCTCGTCCGTGCCACTCCAGCCATAGGACCATTCAGTGCCACAAATCTCCACGGCCACGTGGACACCACCAGAGAGAATGCTGCGGGTGGCTGGCTGCAAGGTCCGAGCCACCTGCACCGGTGATACAGCGGCTGTTTCTTAATATGTTGCTTGGAAGCCTTGGATTATTATGGGAAGATTGTGGATTATGGGATAGGAATGGATAGGATGTTCTTTCAAACAGCGCCAGTACACATGCCCTCCACTGGATCTTTTGAAAGCAGACTCAGCGTCCGAATTTCCTCCCATCTTTGGTCTGCAGTGATTGAGAGTAAGTGCCTGTACATTTCCCAGGGCATAGACATTGAGAATCACCGCCACTTCTGCAGCCTTCACCATCTTCTCCACCTTCGATGGCACACGACACCCGGGGCAAGTGAGTGAAACCTGGTACGGTCCCGATGTATTCCAATGGTATCTAGGTGATGTTCCAGTCACCAGTTGGCAAGTTCACGAATCCCGGAATTCTCTCATCATTTGCATTTGGAATGGTAATCCTGGAAATTGGTAGAGTCTGTCCTGCAAACGTTTAGCAGCTATGAGCATTGTTAGTCACCGTTCATCAATCAATTTCGTGGCCACTTATTGAGTGCATAATAAATTCAACTGCAGGCTTCATAAAAAGACACCTCTAACTGGACAGCTGCAAACTCGCTCAGCAGATACTGGTTACAGGATCTTACAGGCAATGCAGCACAGCCAGTATTGGGATGTACTGGGTATATCCGGGTCACCTCACATTGACTTACACAAATGCAGCAGCTCCCCGGTCCCAACCTCCGCATCCGTGGGCTCTCGTCCACAGCTGAACCAGGACCAAGCTCCTGGAGGAGTCGAAGGAATAAGTTTGAACTCCGGTTGACTCAGGTGGCCAGATTTCATCTGTGGTGATAAATATTGCTCCAAATCTGCAGGAGCCATCCTGGTCGCACTCCACAACGCGAAGAAACGACAAAGGTGATATGTGGGCTCTGGAGTTTTGCACAGCTACGGGATGCAAACCCTTCAAATCAGATACATGATCCATCACTTGCTATACCTCTTTCCGAAGCTCCCGGGGCTCCTTGCTGTTTCACCCTGGGTCCCAAGGACCACATGCCGTGGCCCGCATCGCAGCAGCGGCAGATGCCATGGCCTTCCAAGTCATCGGAGCCCACACCACGATCCTCGGGGTCCTGGGGATCGGAGCAGATCATCTCCATCCAAGAGATCCATCATGGATGATAACTATGAGGTGATAGTGAATGATAATGAGATCCATTATGATAATGAGATGAATTATTGAATAAGCATTCAATGATCATGGATGATCATGAATGAAACATCCATAATTGTTAGTTGATAGTGAATCATAATGGATAATATTGGTACTATCATTATCTCATTCATACTGGATGTAGTGAGTGATAATGGTTGATAATGAATGATAATGGATGATGAATGAGAATGGATCATAGTGGATGATAATGATAAAATGGATCGCTAACTATTAGCAGGAATGCTACAATGGATAACAATGTCATGTAAGAATGATAAATAATTGAAATGATAATGGATGGTAATTGATGAACATGGTAGTGATTGTGGTAGCTATAGCAATGGTGACAATCATAGTCATAATCGTGATAATAGTAATTAGCAATTGAAGGTCATAACTCATAACCGTACTGATCACATGCAGCTCTGCGATCTCCTGCAAGTGGTTGAAGCCGTTTGTTATTAGTCATGTCCAACGGCTTATTCTCTGAATTACTATCTTTCTGCATCTTTGAAAAGGGGGCTTGTTGGCACGCGGAATATCCCCTACTTTGATTCCCAGGTTCCTCTTCAAAGCTGCCAGCAGCTCTTGTACTTCCAGTGCTTGCCTTGGCTTTCGCTGCCACTCTCGGCTTTGCCGAGCTTTCAAAGATGGGAGTTGAAGCAGAGAGGCCTTCAGGGCCAGGGAAATGTGTCTGGACACCTGGAAACATTCCTTGAGTCCTTGAGATAAGCTTCCTAGAGTTGCGACCCCGTTCAAGATGCCAGCCTTTTACCAAACCAAATGCAGGTTGCAAGGAAAAAAGGTATATAGTTTTCACCCTCCCTGACCTTCTTTGGGCTTCTCACCTGAACCAGCTAGCACGACATGAAGGTGGTGAAGGATGACATGGTGCCGAATCAAACAGCGAGCACTTGGGATCTACAAAATTGGCAGTTGCTCCAGTTGCAGTTGCTTCATACCTATCAGGACCTATCACGTGTCGACACAACTGGACCCACCTAGCCCTGGTGGTGGCTCGTTGCTTAGCAAAACGCTTCGAGCCCAGGCCATCTGATCTTCAGACGGCGCCGTGCTGACGCCGTGGCCATGGCCGCCATGGCTAACTGGCAACATCTGTGAGCCACCTGTGACGACCTGTGGAAGTAGAAAATGACATGTACATTAGTACATCTGTGTCTGTGTTAATATGTATAATATGTATAATATTATATATATAATGTACGTATATAATATCTACTAGTATATATATATGTGTGTATGTGTATATATATATGTGATCAGATATATGATCATATATGATCTGATATATGATCATATATGTACATGTGTTTCTAAGATACAGACCGAGAGAGATTAGAAAGTGCATTTATTTGTACGTATGTTTCTGTTTGATTGGGATGTGCTGGTAAGGATCCGACATTCCTTTCAAAATAGAAAACTGAAAGGTACCTTCTATCAGCATCACATGTGGTCATGCTCGGAACAGGAAGCATGTTCTTCATGAGTGCTTCCCTACAACTTAATTCATGACATCAAAAATATTCAAAAACTGAAATCCAATATCTTTGGAACTCTGGAATTTCCTCAGAAATAATGAGGTCAACGGGGTCGGGTCAACATCGACGTGACCAAGCTCCAGGTATTTCCCGCCTTCGGTCATGCCCTCAATGGCAAGGAGACCCAAATTGGCTTCATCCCAATACTCCGCCAGTAAGTTGGTGATGCGAATCCTCACTGGTGATCTTGGGCCATTGGGGCGGACCTGACCATCCCGTATCATGTCTGATTTTTTGTATCCAAAAAAAAAACTCAGCCAAAAATGATCCAAGCGGCTGTTTTCCAGTAAACTCAGGAGCCAATGCCAATTTGGCAAAGACAAAGGGCAGCTCTGCACTGTCTCTGGCCTGAGAATGGACACCTGGCGCAGGTAGGGCCGCAACATGGTAAGGTGGGAGTCTGGGAGTCAGGGAGCTTGACTTAACCTCTCCATACCTAGAAATGACCTGGAAATTTATAGCCTGCCGTGGGTTATTTGGGGAGTCTCGTTGCAGTGGTTTCCCTCCACACCTTTGTGACGATTGAGATGGGTCTTGTCTCCAGTGAAGACTATGGTCTTGTGCCTTGGAAGATTCTGCGTCAAGGTGACATGTCCACTGGCCACTGGCGCTGGAAGAGCGCTCAGCCAGTGGCTTTGGTCACAAAGTCATATCATAATCCTTTATGCTTTTGAAATACAGTCTACATGATGGTCAATGATGGTCATGATTTCCTAGCACTCTTGTGTTTCGGAGCTATCTTCATGGCAGTCATACGTGCTATCAATACGCGACGCTGATCTGTTCACCAAGTGACACGATCTTCCCATCTTCCAAGATGAGGTCCATCAGTTGTAGGTAGACTCCTGGCATACCCAGAGCAAGTCGAGCAAGTCCGACATGGATCAAGGAACGACATGGCCATTTGGAAGTGGGATACACAGATATGTTTTCCCTAAGAATTCCTAAGAAACCAAAAAAAATGTACATTGCTGAACAAACTGTGATACAAATGCAGCAAGCGTAATTCCAAAGACACTACTAAACTCCACCTAGTCCACATTCCCCAGCGTCTAGAAATGTCTAGAATCCTGGAATCTGTTCCAATTTTACTTTGTGACATGGATCTTCAAAAAAAATAGTTTTCCCATATTGTTCCATATGTTTCTATATTTTCCCATGGGTTTTCCCATGGTTTTCCCAATAAATCAGGCCTTTTTCAGCACCAAAAAATGGGATCCCCACTGAGATCCCCTGAGATCCCCCACCATCGGTGATGAAGTTGTCCCGGTTGGCGTTGAAGGCACCCGGCACCAAGGTGTTGGCCAATTGCTGCAGCCACACCGAGCTTTGGGACGCTCCCAGGAGCACCAGCCACGTACCTCGAAATCAAAAGCTTAAGCGCGCCGACAGAAATGTCAACAGAGATACGAATTGTGTATATACATATATATATATATGATATATATTCGTTGATTGATATTGATATTGATATGGTGTACATGTATGTTTATATATATATGATATGTGAAATCATAGTCTGGATAACATTGAATAACCTACATAATATATATATATATATATATTATATATATATATGTGTGTATAGTATTGATAAACACTGGTAAACTATAATATCTATAATTCAGGAACCTTCGGCCATTTTGGGATAGTTAACCTGTTTCGAACTTCACCATCATTCCAGTGACGTCGCAGTGTGGGATAGCGACTTCACTGTTGTTGCCTTGGACCTACGGACTATCCATGGCCATGCGACATGCACCACTTGTCACTAGTTGTAAAGAAACTTTGGCCCTTAATTACATCGAACTCAGATTCAGCTTGGAAAAATGTTGCCTTAAGGGTGGACGTGATGATCTTTGATCAACCAAAGATCAACCAAAAATGTTTGCCGTCCAGCAGTTGTGGTGGGAAACCCACCTTGTAAGCATCGCTCGATGTGCCAGGTTTCGCGCACACCCATCCGGCAATTGGTGTCGTGCAACTGATAATCCCAAGCTTTCACCTCAAATGGCGGACGCCATCAAGGCGGATGTTCCGACGAAAACATCCAAGAATCATCAAATCATCATTTCAAAAAAAAAACTGGAAATCTGGCTGGCTATTTCAAATAAATGGGAAAACTATGGAAAACTCACATTTCTTCCAAACCGCCAGTATTTTAAAACTCCTCCAAAACTCGGCGCACCTCACGAGTGCCAGACCAAATGGTTCCTACGATTCGGTCGGAGGGTTTTTGTGAAAGATGCCGCGTTCGCAGCGTTGATAAATGGTTGAACCATGATTCACAAAGGTTAATAAATGGTTAATAAATGGTTAATAAATGGTTAATAAATGGTTAATAAATGTTAAGAATCATTAATGTTGGTAATGTTGGTGATTAATGATGATTAATGCTGATTTTCATGGGAAAACCCCAACATGAATGATTTAGTTCATGGAAAATACGATCTAGAAATGGATGAGAACTGGTGGTACCCCTGTTTTAGGAAACCACCATATCGGTCTGCAATCTTAGGATCTGTGAAAATCTTCCACGTCTAGATTGGAGATTGTTTGGAGATTTATGATTTTTCTAGATTCTAGACTGGGACCGTTGCTGCCGGTGTCATAGAAAATCATTGGAAGGTAAGACCGTCATGTGACTAAGACTCTGCCCTACAAATGAGAGAAATCATTGCTAACACAGATTATTGGTATCTGCTGTATCTGCTACAAATTGCTGATCATTTACCTTTCAACGAGTAACACAGAGGTTGCTATCGGTCGCCCGGTCCTTTGGTTTCCAGCACGGTCCCCCACACGGGAACCACCGGCAACCTGCCACACACGGGCTTCTCATCTGCCTGGCGGGCGCAGGTGATCTTGGATCCATCTTGGATCCAAATGTCCTGCGATGTCCTCTGTTGACATATCCACAATCCATGAAAAGCATTGAAAAGCCAGGTGTTGATGTCTCAAAAATCAAACAAAATCGAGAAACCACGAAGGGATGTGGCTTTCCCCGGTGTGATCCGGTTCTCATCCTCGGTGCCGCCTCGCCTCTGAAGGAACAGACACCGGGACCTGCGCCTTGGCGAAGTTGGGGTGGCAATGGCAATTGACAACGAAGTTCCAGCAGAAAATGCACAACGGTTGCCTTTCGAATTCACCAACCTTAGCTCCAATGTTCAAACAACAAAAAACATCTTTGTGGCTGACTCTCTGAGTTCTATCTCTGCTGAAGTTTCTGCAACAATGATCAAAAATCAACACAAACACATTCAGAATGATATAAAAACACCAAATGCTCACCCATCCAACCATCCAAATGATCATCACCCACAAACCCAGATGTTCACCCATCCACATAGAAACACCCATCATCCAACCATCATCCAACCATCATCCACCCATCGCCACCTCGGTGGTTGGCAGGAGTGCCTCGGCCGGCAGCGACGGCGCGCAGAGCGTAATGCCCTGCTGCAAGGCCACGGAGCGGATGTCGGACCAACCTCAAACGTAGGAGCTCAGCGTTGGCCTTAAAGATATGTGTTTAGTAAAATTACTATTACATACTATTATAATAATAATAATAGTAATAATAATATATATATGTATATAAATGACTATATATATATGACTATACATTTGATTATATATATATATATGACTGTGTATATATATATATATCATATTATGTACAATATAATGATAATGTGTACATTGTATGACTATCATAATCATAATATTCATCATGTATTTATCATGTTGTGGATAGAAACCGCTGTTGTTATCCAAGAATGGGGTTGCGGAGAACATTTACTGGAACCTCCTTTTTTCAGAAACCAAATCAGTGAGGATTCAATGAACAAAAAGTGCAGGCGGGACTCTTATCTAGTCATTTTGGCGGCAACACAAGACTCCGAAAGATAGAAAACGTGGAACCTTGAGAAAACATGATAAATATGTTCAAACATCCTGGAGAAGTGGTTCTGTCTACTTGCGCACCGGGATTCATAGACTCTTCTACGAAGACAAAGGCAAGCGAAATCATAGATACACATGGGTCCCACATGCCTGTGTGTGTGTGCGCGTCTGCTAAGTTGCATGCGGTGTCATGTTGTACATGTCACGTATATACACTGTGTGTACATATTAGCAACAAATGGGGAGTTCCTAAAATGGAGGTACCCCAAGTCACCATGGATTTCAATACTAAAATGGTCTAATTTTGGATGATTGGGGGTACCCCTATTTTTGGAACCCCCCACATATTTGCAACACATCTCAACTGGAAAGAACATGAAAGAACCCCGTGAGCAAACTGACCAGGCCCTGATTTTGGGCGCGTCAAGTCCGCACTGAAAGTGGTTTGGTTCCTTCGACAGTAAAATCAATGACACTGCTTCAATAGATCTATAAATATACATCTTATATTATATATGTAATACTATATATATATAATATTATATATTTATATATGATTATTTTTCCTGGGTCAATCTTCTGGCGCATGCCTCTCTTCCAGACATTGGGCCAAAGTTTAAATCGAGGCACAACTTCGGTAGACGATGCTGTACCAGGCATCCAGACCTGCAGATGGTCCCATCGTGACCGTAGTTTTTTTTTGTTTGTTTCGGCGAATTGGCCCCAGCCCCAGCCTACTCCTCCGCGCGAGGGGCAACAATGATGCACTGAGTTGGCTCCAGCACTATCTGCGATAGCCCTTGACCAGCTTGCTTCGCAGTTGGCCAACGGATCTTGTGCTAGGAAGATGAGCCTCGGTAAATCGGGCTTCCCAAGGCCCACCTCGTTCCAC